GAGAGAGAGAGAGAGAGAGAGAGAGAGAGAGAGAGAGAGAGAGAGAGAGAGAGAGAGAGAGAGAGAGAGAGAGATTTGCCAGAGAGAGAGAGAAAGAGAGGGATCTTTGCCACAAAGCCATCCCCAGCACTCCGTTCAACCTTCCCAAACGTTACCAATTTATGCCCAGATGACAACTGCTACGGTGTAGCACAACAGAAAACAAACAAACAAACAAACAAACAAACAAACAAACGTAATGTTGGCCTTTTTGTGTCATAACTCTATGATGGACCTTGCAAACATCATGTGGCAGGCCTTTTTCCTCCTGATTTTTTATATATTTATTTGTCATGCACTCTCTTCCATAATGAGGTTGACACCTCCTTCCTGTGGTTTTCAGATCTACATTCCCTCCCATGATTCCCGTAAAGTTATAGCCTTTTTTGTTTCTATGGTCTCCTGTCCTTTGTCCTTTGGACCGGGACCAATTGGCATTCTGGGACATGAGTACAGCGGGAAATCCTTTCATTCCGCTAGTCTCTTGACATCTTCTCCAGCATACTCTCTGTATCGTGGTATATCTGAGTCTTTGGGAGCAGTTTTTCTCAAAAGCGCTCCAAGTTCTTGGTAGCTGGAAGCCTGATACGCACATAAAAGGGTCTCTACTACTCTCTAGGGAATGACTCTGTGAACATTCGTCCTCAGATGTTCTGCTTTTGTCCATATCTGGACTGCCTTTGTCCGCTGAGCCTATTGGTTGGGTGTCCGCTTGGCAAGCAGAAGGTCACGTGTTCGATGCACGTTGGGCACAATGCAATTGCTCTTTTACTCTACTGCCCTTGGGAAGAGTAGGAAACAATAGTAGGAAACAATGTAGAACGTCTTCTGTAACCCCCTCATTACCGATAGCATATAGTCCCTTCAGCCTGCTCATTTGTCCTCTAGTTGCAGTAGCGGTTTTTGTTTTTTTTTCTTCAGCGGTAGCTGTATTGAGTACTATTGACATGTCCAGCTATACATTTTTTCTCTTTCGTTCATTAGTCTTGTCACTCGTGTCCTTACCTGTGCGATGTGCTCTCCTGAGTCCCGACCATTTTTCAATTTCCCTTGCCATTTCTCGAAGGTAGTAGTGACTACACCAAGGTGTGTGCAATGGGTACACCACTTCTATTTTGCTATGAGGGTCTTCTCCTCTCCGTTGTCGGCGTCTTCATCTTCCTCTTCGTCTTCATCTTCTTCAGTCTCTTCTTCTGATGTTGTTTCGATGTCATTTTCACTGCCATCCTCTGTCCCACTCTCTTCATCCTCCTCTCCTTTGATGCTGTGTTTCCACCTTCTTCTTGCCCTTTGCGGAACTGCAGCTCTTTGTCATATTGTCAAACTTATTGTCATGTGACATGTCAGCTGTGTTACATGCTGTACAGGCCCCAACCTGTTTCCCTACAGGGAAACTTCCAGGCTCTTGCCTGGAAGCTTCCTTCTGACAGGGCCTACAGGCCCCAGCCTGTTTCCCTACAGGGAAACTTCCAGGCTCTTGCCTGGAAGCTTCCGCAGGGTCTAGGCCAGGGAGGCATTGGCAAGAGCGGCGTCCTACGCATAGGGCATTGGCACGGCCAGCCTCCGGCATGGGCCAGCACTATAAAAGACTGGCCCGCCCTGCAGAGAAAGGGCAGTTCGGCAGTTGTAGTCTTCAGGATTCGGGAGCAGCACTCTGGAGGGAGCGCTGCGTTAGAGTAGTAGTAGCGTTATCTTGTAGTCTTCAGCGCTGGGCGCAGTAGGTAGCTGTAGTCTCCAGCGCTGGGCGCCATAGCTAGGATAGTGGTAGAGAGAGAGAGAGAGAGMTTGGGCGGAGGCCAGGAGTACCTCCCTGCAGCGCCGTTGCTCCAGCTTCGTCTTCGAGGTGCCTGCAGCACAGCGCCACATCACAGGTTAGTACGTGGTTCGTAACAGTGAGAGAGAGGGTTCTTCTTCCTCTTCTTCTCAGTCCACCATCTCCTCCTCTCCCTCTCAACCCCTGACTTCACTGCATTTGCAGACTGCGAGAGAAGAGATACCGGGGTTGGTGATATCGGATCCAGACTCGACTTTTGGGGACTTCAGACATGGCAACGAGGGGTTATTTGGGATTGGTGACCAAGACTTGGTGTTAACGACACTCCCATCTCTCCCCCCTCCTTTCGTCTGGTCCTTACCT